TATATATTTGTAAATATTATATATATATATATATATATATATATATATTAAATTAAGACTCCATTAAGACGGAGTTTCTCAACAACAGGCAGCTACAAAGTACAATTAAATTTAGCAACACTATACTAAAACATTAAAAAACAAAAACAAATATTAAATCAAAAAAAAAAATGACAATTCCAAAACGCTCTGACCGGAAAAAAGCAGTAGCTAGAACTAAGTACAGTGGATTGTGTAAGAAATTTAAAAATCGTAAACCAATTATTGACGTTACGTCTTATTACATGTTAAATCACTCCAGTATCAATGGAAATGATATATTTTATACTAGTGATGTAAAATCTACTCTATCTACAGTTAAGTATCAAACAAAACAAAAGTTTCAAAAGAAATTGCTTCTACGGATTACTTTTTCTAAAAATGGAATTTCTCAACCTTATTATGTACCAAGTGGACTGGCTGTACACCAAAAAATCTATTTAATCAGATGTATTAAGAAGAGGTTTATTCCATTCATCAATAGGTATCATTCAGATGATGCATATGTATTCTGGCCAGATTTAGCATCATCTCACTATGCAACTAGCTCAGACTATACCAGGCCTAGTTGATCAAGTCAGAAGAAATGGTTTAATTGAAAACAACTGATATATATTTAAAAACTGGAACAAAAAAACTTTTTATAACATTTTTCTTTTTTGTTTTATCTTATTTCTTTAAAGCGATGTGTCTTTAAATCCAGTCTCGTTTTTTAGTTGTCACCTTTTATATATATATATATATATATATATATATATATATATATATATATATATATATATATATATATATATATATATATATATATATATATATATATATATATATATATATATATATATATATATATATATATATATATATATATATACATATATATATATATATATATATATATATATATATATATATATATATATATATATATTCATATATTTATATATATATAATATATATATATATATATATATGTATATATATATGTATATATATATATTTATATATATATATATATAAATATATATATATACATATATATATATACATATATATATATATATATATATATATATATATATATATATATATATATTATATATATATATACATATATTATATATATATATATATATATATAAATATATATATATATATATACATATATACATATATATATATATATATATATATATATATATATATATATATATATATATATATATATATATATATATATCAATATACATATATATATATATATATATATATATATATATATATATATATATATATATATATATATATATATATATATATATATATATATATATATATATATATATATGTATGTATATATATATATATATATATATATATATATATATATATATATATATATATGTATTTATTTATATATATGTATATATATATATATATATATATATATATATATATATATATATATATATATATTATATATATATATATGTAATATATATACATATATGTATATATATATATATATATTTATATAAATATATATACTATATATATATATATGAAGGGCACAGGGGTAAAAGCAGACATGTCACATTTTGCAAGTTTTGAGAAAACCCATTTTAAAAGTTCAAACACTCCTCAATGATCAAAGATACAGAATACAAAGTTGAGATTCTGCATACAGCAAGCCGAACCAATATCATTGCTATAAATGATAAAGTTTGTATGTTTTTTTTTGACCGTTGGGATTTAAACTAAAAAAATCACACAAGAGGTGGTTTTGTGACATGTCTGTTTTTTCCCCTGAATCCAAAATATTCCAAAATAGACTAAGCTTTATTCTCCAGATATACTCATAATGCTATGGGACGCTTAAACAATGACATTAGAAGCCATATAAATTAATCTTATACATATTTTCATGCATTTGTGATCGGTCTGCTTTAAATTAAAGTTATGATAGATCAATTAGTTATAATTATTTTATAAAACAGCAAACAACGCGTAAAATATGTTTATAGACGGTCATTATCAATAGTGTTAAGAAGTACGCAAGAGCTCCGTACTTATTCAGGTTTTATCTCGCTTTATTAATTCTTATTTAAGTGAGACTAAGACAGTGTTTCCAAGGCACCGTGTTAAAAAAAGACATAATAATTAACTAAAGGGAGTTACTGTTAAATATGACAAAAACTTTTTTTTTTTGGATATATATTTTTTTTAGAGTGAAGGCGTTTTTATTATCATTTAGTTGAAATTTTCCTTAACATCTTTAAATTTTTTGGAGCAGTTAAAAAATTTTATTATAATACTTATATAAATGTTAACTTCTAATGTCTAACGGGACACTTATTAATTTTTTGATAACCCCCTCTCCTTTAAAAAGCGTTTAATGTGCGCATAATTAAATTTTAGTTAATTACATAAAGGTCTCTCCGTCATAGATGAAAATTGCATTTTAAACAGAAATTTTCAAATATTTCATGCTTCTAAAATCCGACCCTTCCGTTTATTACAAAATCACAAATTTATTAAATAATATTTTTTTTAACAAAACTTTATTATTTAATAACAAAACATAATTATTATTTGTGTTTTCCTGTATCGCATAAATACGTCACATGGTGTCTAAAAGAAAAATGTAATAGATAAGTAAATATAATAGAAAAGAAAAACATTTTTAAAACAGAAAAACAATTAACCTGTTTTTGGCAAACTGCAGTTGCTGTTTTAATGAAGCAATATTTAATGGTGTTGTTCAATGACATTATTTCATGCTGGCTTTTATTAAAGACGAAAAAATTAACATTTATTAAAAAACAAATTAAAAATGTTTAAAAGAATAGAACTATGCACAACACTAAAGATAAAAAAAAAACAAATTGAAATATAAACAAATTGTGTTTATAACAATATGTTTTGTCTTGGCTTTTAGTGAATGATTAGAAACAGTAAGCTCCATGAATAGAACTACCAATTAATCATTTTTAACGATAGACACCAACGGGAAGGTAAGCCAACTGTCTATCAACACAAATCATCACAACAATATTACAACGATAACGCACAACAAAAGCACATAAGATATTTATAAGTACACATTACACTTGCTCTTTACAATGGCAAAGTCAAACCACTTTGAAACCACTGCATAAAATAGACAAAGAAACAAACTATAAACATATCGTCACGATCATAGCACAATCGTCTAAGTCATTTTTTTCTTGTTTTGAGAAAGCTAAAAAAAAAAATGAATAACTTCGGTATTTCTTTTGCTACGTCACTTTGGCTTATTTTTGGCATCTTTTTATTTAGATGCTTTCATATATTGCTTTAGAAGTGATATGTGTATTACCGTTGAGACACAATAGGATATAGGTCAAAAACAATAAGATATAAGTAAAAATGCGGATTTAAGCAGAAGTGAAAAAACTAAAAATCAACTCCTTTTTGATTGGTTTAAGGCGATTTGCCACATTATTAGACTGTTTAAGCTATATATTTCAACTCTTAACTTCCGAAAAACCCCCAAAAAATGACTTAGGCAATTGTGCTATGATCGTGACGATATAACATTATAAAACATATTAACACATTTAACACATTACATATTTGTATGTACATATGATGCTTAATATTAATAGACATTACGTGTTTCCAGAATAATTAAAAAAGGCTAGACAACACAACCTAGCCACAACAAAGCAGTAACACCACTTGGCACTAAACGCTGCCAAGTCACACCTCTGCTTTAAGTACACCGCTTGGCTGGCAAGGTTAACTATCTTGCTCGACACGTTTGCCAAGTCACACCACTTTGAAAACATGGAAACAACGTAATATAAACATATATACACAAACTGTAAACACATATACACAAACCCTAAACACATAACCTTGATAACACATATAGCCCAAGTATTACATGAACAATTTAAAAAAACTAACACATAACATAAATATAACACTTACATAACTTTTATAACAATTATAAACATGTATAAAGACAAATATAATTACTAAAACAATATAAAATAAAACTATGAAAAAAAGTGAAAATTATAACAAAAATCTCATAATTATAAATTAAGAACATTAGAAAATACAACATTATTTGTATAACACTTTTCACCTATCATACCTTGAATGGGATGTTTATCAATTTTAAAAAATAAACTATTAAATGCTCTAGTTCTTGAACATGCAACATAAAGTTGACCATGAGTGAAACACAGTTTCTTTAGATATACACCAACTCTATCAAATGTATGACCTTGACTTTTATTAATTGTCATTGAATATGCCAATCTGACAGGAAACTGGCGACGTTTTAGAACAAAAGGTAAATTAGAATCTGACGGAGCCTACTGAATTCGAGGTACAAATACCCGTTTACCAGCAGAAACACCTGTCAAAACCTCTGCATCAATATAGTTATTTTGAAGAGCACAAACTTTCATTCGAGTGCCATTGCATAACCCAGCTTTGAGATCTAAATTTCTAAGTAACATAATTATACAACCAATTTTAAACTTTAAAGAATGAGGAGGCATACCTGAGGGAGTTAAGCTATTTAAAGACTCAACAGGAAAGTTATTTCTTTCATTAAGATTGTCTGTCTCAACTTGATCAGCACTTAAATAAGTTTTAACCTCAACCGGTAGACGTTGAAGCACTTCCTCATTGATTGATAGTGAATCCACATTAGTTGGTGTCAAAATGACACGTTTAGCATAATCGTCTTGTTCGGCATCCCCAAATATCTTTTCAACAATGGAGTCATTTTCCCTAATAAGGCATTGATGCGGTATTTCAATGCACCCTTTAAAAGGATCTTCCTCTTTGACAAATACTGTTCCACTACCAAGTCTCAACAGCCAATTTGAAAATTCCCTTTCCCCATCATGTACTCTCATATTTTCTGTTAACTTAAACTTCTGCACCCATTGCCAATGTAAAGATCATTTTATACATGCTTCTACAATTTCAGCTGGTTGTCCTCTTTTCACAACAGGCAGTATTTGTCTAAAGTCACCTCCAAAAAGAATGACTTTTCCTCCAAATGGAAAGTTGTTGTTGCAAACATCTTTTAATAACCTATCAATTGCATTCAATGCATGCTTGGGTATCATGGATGTTTCATCAAGCAAAAACAAACTAACCTGACTTAAAAAGTGTCCATGTATAGAGTTTGGAGTAACATTACATGTGCTATTATCTAATATTGGAACAGGAAGTTTGAATAAGCCATGCAATGTAGATCCATTTGTAAGAAGAGTTGCTGCTATGCCAGTCCATGCAGCTGTAGCAGATTTGATACCTCTACTGCTGGTTTCAGCAATCAAATAATTATATGTAATCGTTTTTCCACTACCAGCCGGTCCATCCATGAAAAACAATCGAGAATGCTGATTTTCTACACTTGGTTGTTCATTCAATGCAGCAAGAATAGCATTACATAGATTTAATTGATTGACATTGAGAAGTGGTCTCATTCTATTGGCTTCATCAATTGATTGTTGAACATTTTGATTGAAATTTTCTAGATTATCTAGATTAAAATCTAACTCAATAACAGGCAGATTATAATCCGCCAGCGTTTTACCACACTGATTAATAATCTTTTCAACTTGACAAAGAGCAGCTTGTTCAGCTATTATAGCTGAACTGGGACTGAGCGGTGAATAAAGTCCTCAATCATAAATGCTTTGTATGTATTCTAAAGATGCAAAGGATTGTCTGGTTCACAAAAAGTCAAAATAATTGCAAATAACTGTCTAATTTGCTTTGGCATACGTGTTAAAACTGCCTCAGAAAGTGCATTTTGCCATTCAGTGTCATCTTGTAACAAACCATTTAAAACGCATGCTTCACGAAATGTTTCAACAACAATACCATTAACAGTACGCACATCCACCCAAGACTTGGCTCCTTTTGCATGCAAAAGTAACAGCCCTAAGAAAAAATAATTCTCTAGTTGGATTAACTTTATACATTCTTACTATCACCTTATTACCACCTCTTTGTCTAACCTTCCATTTACAAAGCTTATCATCAAATATAAAATGATAAGGAATGTCTACATATGAATAGCAATGTGCTCTTTCATTTTCAGAATTTAACTTGAACCATGCTGTAAGGTGTGTATCACGTTGAGCTGCACGATCTAAAGCCATTTGTTCTGCTCCTTCTCTAAAATACACTAATTGATTCTCAGGAAGATGAACTTTAAGGCGGATAATAGTGTGTGACATATGACTTATGGGATACTCAAAAATTCGCCACAATGCTTCAGGTGCACTAACATAACGACAGTCTAAAAAAGTATTTACTTCATCATGATTAATTTGTTCATTTATCAAAATATTGGCACAGTCGTGACCCTTGTATATGCATTTGTACAAATATTTAACAGCCTTAACAGACATGCAAGCTTCAACATTAATGTGGGGTTGATATTTCTTTGATAACCATGGATTGTAAGGTACCACCCAGCGGTTATCTACATTGTTACCTTTAATATTGATAACCAAACCATTATCACGACGCCTATAGCAAGGATAACCATTATGAACTACTACTGTGTTGGCATTAAATTCTTTAGGATAATTTTTGCTGCACACCCCATCTTTCATGCAGGTAGAATTTGGATTCAGTATGCCACATGGGCCATGAATCATGCAAGTTTTAATAACATCATAAAGTTCACGATTTATAATTGGATCTGGAATTTCAGCACATATTAAACTATTGATATCCTGTGCTGTCTCCAGCTTGTCATCAGTGGCAAAGTGAAGTAAAATATGAACATGTGGTAAACCACGCTTTTGAAATTCGATAACATGAACATGGGTTACGACTTTCCCTAATACACCATGCTTAAAAATATCATTTAGGAGATTATTTAATTTGAGTTTAAATACTCGTGTAACTAAATCAGGTCTATCATTTGCAGTTTGACCTGGATATAAACTTTCAGTTATCTCACGCCATTTTGGGTTGCAGGTAAAAGTAATAAAAAGATCTGGTTTACCATACTTTTTAATTATAGCCATAGCATCTTCAAAGTTTTTTTTTTTAAAGCTCTAGGACTTCCTACGTAAGTAGATGGCAAAACTACAATGCGCCCTACTCTAACATTATGATCGTTTCCAAGGCTGTCTACATGTTCATGTAAGGCATCATACTGCTCGCTTCTAAGTTTGTTTTGGTTATTTCTGATAAAAGCAAGGCGCTGGCCTTCAATTTTGACATATGCATCAACAGCATATTGCTGAAATAGTTTCTTGCCATAAAAGATTGAAGAAAAAACTTGTCTAACCGAAAGTCTATAATTGTAATACTGAGATAATGTAACATGATTTCTAACCAATGTAGCACGTTCAGGGTTGTGAACCGATTGATTATGCCAACCAGCATCACCCCTTGGGAAAAATAGAGGATAAACCATAGGATCTAAGTTGGCAGACATACTTGATATAGTTTTAAGAGGATGACCTCTCGGGTAAATAACAACTTCTCTGGAAGCAGGGAGGAGCACCATCTTCACCAACAAATACAACTGCAACTTCATTATGTGAAGGGAGATTATAGCGACGTCTATCTTGCCCTTCAAGTAAAGACATTTTTACAACTGAGACTGAGCGACCTTCATATAGCTGCTTGGCGAATTTCTTCATCTTCCACTTCAGCCATGTTTTTAAATGCGAGAGCAAATGGGTTCTCCTCACTAATAACAGTTTGCAACCGAAACATTAAATCATTTAAGCAAAGATCATTACCAGGTTGTCGCATTCTAAAATTTATTGCTGCAAGTGGATCATAAATGTATAGTTGACAATATGTTGGAGGAATATCTTGATCTGGCCTAAGATTACCAACACGATGAAAAACCTGACCACATATTCTAAAACATATGGCGGACCCATGATTCATGGGTTGAACTACATTAGCGGTAAATGAAGCAAAAGAAAGACAGGACATTATAATTTCGAATATATTTTAGAAAATTCACATTGGCATTTCAATCTACATAACTTCCTGTAAATAAATCTTGTAAATCTTGCGGAAATGGTGAAAGTTGAGACAAAACTACCTTTCCATTATGGCAACATAAAAAATGTGTTTCATCAGGAAATTTCTTTAGCACCACAATGCTGGACAAATATGATTCATTTCTCCTAAATAATTATAATCTGGAATAGTATTACTTCTTGCTATACAATGCGTTCTTTCATGTCTACCAGCATATCTAGCATTCTGTTGATTATTAATTTCATCTCGCC